GTAAACTAAAAATAAATAAATTTAAATTAAAAAAAGTGTCTGAACTCAGGTCCTCCTGACTCTACTGCTGGAGTTCTATCCACTGTACCACCTAGCTGCCTCCCCGCCCCTTCTTCTTCCTCCTCCTCCTCTTATCCTCACCTAGCTACCTACTACCACTACTACTATTACTACTACTACTACCACTACCACTACCACTACTAGCACTGCTACTACCACTACCACCACCACCACCACCACCACCACCACTACTACTACTACTACTATCCTCAGGAGTCTAGGGGTAACCTGGAAGGTTTTGAGTTTTCCTATTGTTTATAAGCCCCCACCAGTGTATCCCCCATTAATTATCAGTCAGACAATGAGCTTTTAGAAAGAGCTTTGCTGAGAAGGTAAGGCAAGGACAGTTAGTGTTGAAACATTTCTTCCAAACCAGACATGCATTTTCCCCCTTCACACACACACACACACACACACACACACACACACACACACACACGAGGGGTCTCTGAGACCTTGAAAGACTTGAAGCCCTTTTTTCCCTCCTGCTTTGTGGAAGACTCATGAAATTCTCACTGGTGTAGCTCTTTTTTGGGTCCTAAGGGTCAATGGTTCTGAAGCTGCCTTTCCCCAGTTTTTGAAGCTGATGCTTGCCATCACTGCTAATGCTCTGAGAACTGAACTGCTGGCTCTTATGGACACTGCTACTGATGCTCATGAAACTCCAAATTCAACTTTTCAAAGTTCACAAGGTCATCACTTGGTCAGTGGTGGGTGGGGAGGGGAGGAGAAAGAGAAAGAAAATTCCCTCTTCTCCTTGCTCTACCAAGGGCAAATCCCTCTTAGGAATCCTTCCCCACTGGATTTTCCAATCATCTCTTGATGGGGCTGCTGCTGGAATGAATGATTCTGAACTGGTTTGCCATGTTATACATAGGCCCAAATTTATGTCTGAGTCTTTTGTCCAATTACAGAAAATATCTGTGTGTTGTCATCTACTTTCGTCTAGTGACTGAAAGTCCCTATGTGCTTTCAAATCGATGAAATCACAGGTTCTTCATTAATTGCTCTTCTAGTTCCTGGTGAGGGTAAAGGTTAGATTCTAGGCTTAATTAATTAATATTCATTGAGCACCTACTCTGTGCTCGGGGATATTTTAGGTACTATGCAAGATACAGTTATGAGACATAGTCTGTACCCTCCAGGAACTCAGTCTAGTTAGGGAAATAAGATTCAGACACAGGAAACAGACTCACACAAATGTGTATCTCTAAGTTCTAAGGGATATGGTAAGTGCTGTGAGCTTTCAGAGAAGGAGGAAATCAATGAGGATTGGAGTAGTTGGAGAAATGGCTAGAAGAAATTGGGACTTGAACTGGGTTTTAAAGAATGAGTAGAATTTGAAGAGGCAAAGAGGAGGGGAGAAAGCTTCCCAGGCATGGGGCATAGCATGAACAAAGGCATAGAAGTAAGAATTTGGCTGGAATATCTGTGGGATACTGAATGACTGAACTTATAAAATGGAAGATGTATGTTGGGAATAATTGGGAAATAAGTATTCAAACTCATGCTTGAAACAACTTGGCTTACTTTCTCAACTATTTCCTGCCATTTCTAGGTACCAGAGAGATGTAGGAATACAGGGGGACAAGGATGAATTTCTTGGGTCTTTAAAATAAAGGGAGCTGTATGAGGTCATTAATATTATTCGACGATGGATTTTTTTTTTTTGGTGAGGCAATTGGGGTTAAGTGACTTGCCCAGAGTCACACAGCTAGTAAGTGTTCTATGCCTGAGGTAAAATTTGAACTCAGGTCCTCCTGACTCCAGGGCCGGTGTGCTATCCACTGCTCCACCTAGCTGTCCCAGACAAAGGAATTTTAAAAACAAAGACTTGTTACCTGCTTCATGAGAGTCACGTATATCAGAAGAAGCTATAGAAAAGATGCCTAAGACATAGCACAGATGATAAGTTTGCAGCAGCAGTTCATGGGGTCCTGGGCCATGAGGGCAGCACAAAAAGAAATGACCATTGGATTTCTGGATTTGCTTGGCAAGTGAGCCAGAGTGTGCCCACTATTTCTATAAAAGTTGTATTGGGATTCTCTCTCTCTATGACTTTGATATTAGGGTAATACCTGATAATCATCATTTGTATACAGCTTCTGAGTCTGTTCCCTGGGTGAAAGTGGAATTGGGAACAAAGACAGAATGACTGCTGCTGAGGAATGGAAATTTTAGACCTTTATTGGAATGGTTGTTTTCAGTCCCTTGGGAGTTTTAATATTATATCCTTTTGTTTTCAATTCCATTCAGTAAGTGTATTCTAATCTATAAGGTATGTGCATAGATTTTTTTGGGTCACTCAAAGTTGGGAAGGAGACAAAAATCTTAATGTGAATTGGGGGTCCAAGCCAAATAACTTATGGCAATCTTTATATTTTCCTTTCAGTTTTTTTTAGGCGAGGCCATGGAGTGAAGTGACTTGCCCAGAGTCACACAGTTAAGTAAGTGTCAAGTGTCCGAGGCCAAATTCAAACTCAGGTCTTCCTGAATCCAGGGCCGGTGCTGTATCCACTGTGCCATCTAGCTGCCCCAATCTTTATATTTTCGATCTTAAGCTAAGCAAGCTGAGATAAAACCTGAGTCCAGGCACTAGGAGACTGAAAGCCTTAGGAAATATAGGCTATTCTATTCTCACCAACCCAGAGTGATAGAAAGGGGACCAGACTGGAAGCTCTGGCAGCCTAAGTGAGCAGAGGTCTCAGGCAGTTAGTCCTACTTGCATGCTTTGCAGGGGACTTAAGGGGAGCTGGAGCAGCCTGAACTCGGTTCACCAGCTGGTGGCTTATGCTGGGATTACATTCTATCTCCACCCATTTTCTTTCCCACACTCACTGTCCAAGACAGGGAATCCTGTGGAAATAATTTTTGTACGGTACATAATGAGTTAAGTGGGATCATGTTCCAAGAGTCTTTTTGTATCTTAATGAGGAATAAAAAGTGTTGTTGGTAATAAGTGAGCAGTGGACCTGCCTCTAGTGTGACATGGCAGGTAAAGGAAAGCTTACACTACCGTAGATAGCATTAATGGAGGCATAATGTCCAGAACACAGGAGGTGATAGTACCATTGTTTTCTGCCCAAGTCAGAGTATATCTAGAACATGATGGTCAGACACAGTCACCACATTTTAGGAAGGGCACAGACAACCTCAGTAGATCTAGGGGAGGGTGAACAGGATGATAAGGGGACAGGAAACCAAGTAATATGCTGATTGTTTGAAGAAGCTGTGGATCTTTAGTTTGGAGAAAGGGAGAGTTAAGGGGAAACATTATAACTGCCTTCCAATATCTGAATGGTTCTTACGTGGATAAGGTATTGCACTTATGTAGCTTGTCTCAGAGAGCAGAACTAGCATGAATGGTAAGAAGTTACAGGGAGGCAAATTTAGGTTCCATGTAGGCAAAACTTCCTATCAGTGTCCAAAGTGGAATGAGCTGCTTCAGGAAGTAGTGAGTTCTGTGTCAGGGGAGGTATTAAAGTAGAGGCTGGCTGACTATTTGTCAGTAGGCAGCCTCTAAGGTGGCTTCTACTTCTGAAGTTTTATGATTCTGCCTTCCTTCTAGTACATGGCTTCTTCCATGTGCTCAGGTGACAAGGAGTTTCACTTAAACTGGGCAAGACAAAAAGTAGGGGTGGCCCCATCTCTCTCTGCCAGCTGGAAGAATTGAGAGGGAAAATAGGCTAGTCTTTGTGCCTGTGAAAATGCTGCCTGCCAAATGCCCCCCCCCAACTCTAAGGCCCTCACAAAGGAGACTGATGAGGGAGACCAGCTGAGAACTGGGTTACCAGATGCTCCGCTCTCAAAAACCTAGTGAGATGATGAGGATGGAAGCAAGATAAAGAAACCTAGAAGTTTTTTAAGGAAGACAAATGAGTCATCTTTTCAGGTGCATTCAATGGTCTGTCTTCCCTTCAGCCACTTTATGATACTTTACATTTCACATTTGCTGGCATTTTAAAGTTACAAAGCTCTTTCCTCACAACAACCCTACAAAGCAAGTAGTATTATACTCACAAGGAAATTGAAGTTCAGAAAGTTTATGACTTGCCCATGGTCACACAGCTACTAAGTGTAGTGTGGCATCATGGAAAAACAACGGGATCAAAGTTTTATAGTGAAATCCTACTTTTGGCACCTCTAGTCCTACCTGTAGCTATGTGACCTTGGGTAAGTTACTTCACTTATCCCAGGCTTCAGTTTCCTTTTCTGTAAAATGAGAAATTCAGACCTTCCAGTTCCAAATCTGTGAGACAATGATTATTATGCCTTTTTTTATACAGAGGAGGAAACTGAGGACAAGAGACCTCAGTAGATTCTTGCCTGGCTTATGCTATTTTGCTCCAGAGTGGAATTTAATAGGAAGCTGGCTTGCCTTGTAACCCTCTCCTTGGGTCAATCTGCTGAAGTCTTGAAAGAGCTTCCTCGTACAAGGTAGCTTCACTTGCATGTTGGTTGGATATTTCACTCTGTGGAGGACTATTGTGAATTGGGGGTATATTGATGCCCAGAAAATGTTGACTGATTGGGAGGGAGGAAGCCTTTTCCCATTCATAGATATAAACACAACTCAGGTGCCATGAAAGGATGGCTTCTTTTCTCTCCTGGGAATATATTTATTTTTCAAGGAACACAGTCTTTTTAAAAAAAGTTTGCTTAAGCTGAAACTACTGTTTCAACCAAGCTCCTTTCTCCTTCATCATCCTACCCTCTTTATTCTCCCCTCTCCCCCCATCATCTGGCCTGATTGGAGCTCTGAGTCTGTTAGGTATGAAAAAAGGAATAGAAGGGGGAGTTGCCCTTAGAATCCAAGGCTGTCTCACTGGCAACCTACCACAGAAACTCTCATTACCCTCTTGTTTCCTGGATGAGCAGGAACAACAAAAAAAAATAATACAGCTCAGCAAAGCCCTATCTGTAGCCTATCAGAAACCTCCTCTGCAGCTTCATTTCCTTCCCCAGGGCTTGCTAGAGTTTTTATCTCCCTGAATTTAGCTAGGATTGATTAAGTCCTTCCTGCTTCAACGTGAGGGAATAAGAAAGCTCAGATTACTAACTGGTCCTACTTTCTATGCCAAGTTCCCAAGATATCCCAGGCTAGAAAAGTGTTGGTGAGTGTCTGGGACTTCTTGGTGTGTGTGTGTGTGTGTGTGTGTGTGTTCTTTTGAGCTTGAAGGCCCAAAGGTGGGGGTGCTGTTTAGGATGGGGGACAATTCAGAGCACTGAATGGGAGTGGGAAAGGAAGAGTAGAATATTGACCTGGGAAGATATGAGGATGGAAGTTGAAGGGATAGCAGGTGTTCCTGTGTGTGTGTGTGTGTATGTGGGAAAGACATTAGAGCAGGAGATATTTAGGTGACAGATTTGGTTTAGGTGTCTGTGTTGGGGTGGGGTTTTGGAGCTGAGAGAAAGGAGGGAATAGAAACCAAAATGGAGTGTCTGGTAGAACTGGGAAAGTATGTCTGCTTCAAATAAGTAGGTTAGGCTAGATCAGGAGTTCTTAATTTCTGCCCCACGAACTTGCTTAAAAAACCCCCAAACCAAAAAAAACTCCCTCACAGCATTTTGATAATGGTATTTCAATAGATTTAGTTTTCTTCATAATCTCATGTCTTTTATTTTATGTATTATTTTCATAAGGGATCCACAGGCTTCCCTAGACTGCCAAAGTGGCCCAAGACACTTTGGAACCCCTGGACTAGAGATTCCCCGAGGTCTCTTTCAACTCTAATATTTCATGACTCTTCATGGGAGAGCTTAATGGTGTAGTGGAGAGAGAGCCAGTCTGGGACTGAGGAAGAGCTGGTCAAGTCCAGCTTCTGACAAATACTGCCTAATTGACTTCACCTGTGCCTCAGGCAACTGTCTAGATTTAGAAGTAGGTCGCGTGCTAGCTACATCGCTTTAGGAACACTCCTTACCAGGAGTTGTTTTACAGTTTAAGCCAATGAAATCGCAGGTCCTGATTTTTTTTTTTAAATGCATGAAACTAGGAAAAGCCCGGGTCACTTTTCTAGCTGTGTGTCCTTAGGCAAATACCTTCCGCACTCTGGGCTTCAGTAAAATGAGAGAGTAGGAATAGATGATCTCTAAAAGTTTCTGCCAACCCCTGTGATCCTGGGGTTCCTGGCAGATGAAGTGCCCGCCGGCCCCACTCCCCCAATTCCTTGAAGGTTATTCCTTTTGGGTAGAAGTAGAAGATATGAGAGAGTGTGGGGAAGCATGAGATTATGTGGGTATCGGGCTGCCACCACGGGGCAGGTGACGTGGGGGTAGTTTGACTTGGGTTCCAACCCAGGGAGGAAACCTGTGGCCCCGCCTGATTGACTCTCCCCTCCCTTCCCCCTCCCCATCCTTCCCTAGGACTGCTCGGCAGGCGTGGGACTCCTCCGGACATGGCCCACGGTGCCATACTGGCCTGGGCCTGGGCTCTGACTCTGGGAGCGGTCCAACGGGCCCAAACAGGCTGCGCCGAGCTCGGTCGCTGCTGTCCGGGCCGGGACCTGACTTGCATCTCCCGGGGCTGGACAGCGGCAGGTTTCTCGCTGGGCCCCCAGCCCTGCTACTGCGACCAGGCGTGCAGCGCAGCCGGGGACTGCTGCCGGGATTATGGGAGTGCCTGTCCAGGTGGGAGCCGGACGAGGATGAGCAGGGAGGGTGGGTTTGGGCGGTCCACAGGGACTCAGGAGAGGAGCGGGCGGAGGGTGAATGAGCCTGGGAACGGAGCGCCAGAGCAGGGAAAGGGAGAACAGGGAAGAGGGCTGGAAACTGCAGGGGAGCTCGGGAATGAGGAGAGGAGGGAAAGCAGGAGCCTAGATCGAGGTCTGGAAGGGACCTAAAAGGTCATCTAAAAGGTTCAACTTCCCTCATTTGGCAGATGAGGCCCAAGAAGGTGAGCCTACTTGTCCCAAAGGGGTCAGTGGAAGTGGAGAGGGGGTCTGGGACCAGGCCTGGGGTAGAAGTGCCCTAGTTAGGAATAGGACTACGGAAAATTACAGGTTAGGACTGGGTGAGGGGGTAGGGGCTTTGACCTGTCATGTAGTTATGGACCTCAGGCAGGGGCAGGGAAAATCAAAAGGGACTGAGGAATTTGTAAAGGGATGCTTGAGGAACTGACTGGGACAAGAGATAGGAGAGGGCCATGAGGAGTGGGACTTCCACAGGGCCACCCGTCTAACTCTTTCTCTCCTTCAGAGGGCCTTCATGGTGGTGTCAAGTTATGGGCCAGTGCCAGTGACTTGGAACAATAGGACCCAAACCATCACCATCCCTACTATTATCTTTATTAAAACCACTACCATCATATCCAACACTATCATCATTGCTGCTACCATCATCTGTATTAATAATGAATGTCCATGGAGTATGATTTAAGTGAATGCTTATTCCGATTCTTGCAGCTGCAGATTCTTTAGGATAAAAGGTTATTTTACCTCCCTCCCCTTAAAAAAAATGAGGCAGCTCACAGAAGGTTGAAGCATCGAGGAGATGCTTTAATGCTTGGCCATTAGAGATGCTGTCTCTGCTATTTTTTTGTTTCTTCCCAATGTTAGAATTTTCATCATTACCTGACAAGGGTTGGCCAGACCTGGAGTGATGGCTTTTCTCTACCTTTAATGCTGACTATATATTATGTTGTACTAGTAAGCATCCTAGATGAGGAGTCAGAAGACCGGGTTCTGGATCTGATTCTGCCCCTGATTCCCTGTGTGATATTAGGAATCAGTGTCCTTCCCATTTCTGAGCCTCAGTTTCCCCATCTGTAAAATGAGGGGATTGGATTAGATGAGTACTAAGATCCAGCTTTGGCATTCTAGCCTTGAGATAAGAGTCAGGAGATCTGCATTCTAGCCCTGGTGCTGTCCCTGATTCACTGTATAACCTTGGGCAAGCCAATTCCTCTTGGTGAATATCAGGTTTATCCCCTGTAAAATGAGGGGGTTGAACTAAATGATTTCTAGGATTCCCTAGAGCACTGACATAACATAATTCTAAGGTATTAACATAATAAGCTACCTTTTCTGGATACACTTTCATTTTAAAAGAGGGCACAAGTTCTTAACTAAAGAACTGAGGGAATTACTAGAATTAGACTTTCAGTCATCTGTGGGGGAAAGTACTTTTTGTTGGGTGAGGAGCAAGCCGGGGGTGGGAGGGAATTTCATTCCATGTTAAATCATACTAAAGGTACCAGATGTGTACTGGTACATCCCTCTCTTTGAATATTATGAAACCATTAGCTAGCCCTTTCTAGGCTGTACTTGGAAAATCATCTGCCTAGAACAGCAGGACTGTTTTCTTCCTGTACATATGTGGTACCTGCACCTAACTGGCACATGCCTGCAATCATCCCACACATACCTGCAAGGGTGGATCCTCAGGGACTCAGGAGCCCACTTTTTTTAATTTTTGGTAAGGCAATCAGGGTTAAGTGATTTGCCCAGATTCACACAGCTAGTGAGTGTCGAGTGTCTGAGGCCAGATTTGAACTCAGGTCCTCCTGACTCCAAGGCCAAAGCTCTATCTGCTGTGCCACCTAGCTGCTCCAAATCACAACTCCTTCTGGCTGGCATTCTTATACACATTTTACAGGTAAGAGAATTGATGCACAGTTTCAGGGACATACCTGTGGCCTAAGGGGTTCTGAACAGGGGCCAGGGATCCCATTCCAGTTCCAGAGAGAAGCCATTTTATAATTTCAAATTGTTCTAATTGTCCATTTTCTATGTCCTACAGTCTCTTCCAGCACTAATATCCATGTTATATGTTCTGGGGTTCCTTCAGCTTTGACATTCTACTCTCTAAAGTTCCTTCCAGTTCTAATGTTCTACAGTCTAAGGCCCTTTCCAGTGGATATGCCTCTGTCTGTTGTTATTCACTGGCGGGAAGGGAGTGCTGCGGGGCCCTAGAAGGGGGAGATGGGCAGAAAGGACCAGTGGTTACATTGTTTAAAGAGCCAGGGAAATGTTCCCACATTCCTGACCCAGAGCCCACAAAACCAGTTGATGTTATCAACACTTCATCATTCTCTAGAGTATAAAGAGCTCAGACTAGGGTGGCAGGAGATGGGCAAGAGGGTGGGTGAGAGGAGGATGATAAAGATGATTCCTTGTGTTCACCAAAGCTTCTGTTCCCTTTGTTTGCCCCATTTTACGTCCTACTTTATACAGTAGGTGCCAAAGGACTGTGGGACCAGAAACCAGCTTTCTGATTATGGGCTGGCACATCTCCATATGCTTATAACCAAATCCCAGATTCAGCAAAAATTATTTTAGGGGCTCAAAGCCAAGGGACTGAAAATTTTGTGATTTCCAGAATCAAGGAAACTATAATCCAAAATCTACTATTTATAGTATTGGGGAATTCTATTCAATTTATAGAATCAAAGCATTAGAGCTGGATGGGAACTCAGAACACAGAATGTTAGAATTAGAAGAAGCTTGGCAAGTGGAGAATGTGAGAGCGAGAAATAACTGGAGAACAAAGAATACTGGAACTAAAAAGGCCTAAGATAGAATGTACAATGTTAGAGCTAGAAGGGACTTTAGAGATCACCTAATCTAACCCCCCTTGTTTTACAAAGGAAAGAGCTGGGACTCAGAGTGGGGAAGGTCACAGAGAGAGTGAGTGAACGAGCTGGAACTAAAAGCTAGGTGGTTTGATTATGAATCCAGTGCTCTTTCCACCATTCACGTCTTTATGAATCACCTACCCTTGCCAAGGACCACGTTAGATGTAAAGTGAGAATGAAAGTGACATAGGGATCTGCCCTCCCTAGTGTGCCACGCTCCCACATGTGCCAGGTGCCCTGTCTGCCTAGGTAGGCTACAGACTTCTCAGCACCAACTTCTTCCAGCTATTCCCAAGTTCTAAGATTACTTGTCAAATGTATCTCTGCCCCATGGGCAGTCCCATGGGCAAGTCCCCTCTCTTGTTTGATTCAGCAGTTGTTAATAAATCACTTCAACTGTATATTGTAGTAACCAAAAATTTTATTAGGAAAATCATGATAATATCAAGTGGTAGCAAGCAGCTAACTTAAAAGACATTCATCACAGATAGCCTAAAATTGCAGCAGGCATCAGCAACTCAAAAGGTCATTTTCTCCTTCCCTCCCATGACTAGCACTCCAGCCTGGTGCTCTAAGCGTCCAAGCTCCCCTAGTTGAGCTACTCAAAGAGGTTCTCAATCAAGAGGAAATAGGGAGGGGAGTAGGGCCTGCCAAAAACACTACTCACACATGTTATTTCATGATTGAAGTCCTAGATGATTTTGTAGCCACTTCATTTTTTAAAAAGTCCATTGACCATCAGCTTTATCTTTTGGAGCTCAAGACACAAAATACAATTTTAACATAAAAGGATAAATGTTTCACAAGCCCTGTGGTAAATATTGATCTCAAAAGGAGTCTATCTGTGCTGTTAGGAGAGAGAAGGAAAGGAGAGGGGGAAATAAAAATTGCTAGCCATGGACTGAACAGATGTTTAGTGATGTAGGTCCTATCCTGAATAGGACACATGCGTAGTTCATTTATACTGCCCTGGCTCAATAATAATACTTTGGGTGTTGGTGACTTGTCACACACTTTTCATGGCAACCATTCCTTCTACCTCTCTGGATCCCCCTACTCTTACTCTTTTTGCTCCCACAAGTCCAAAAGGTAAGAGGGAATTACTTGGGAGACAAGGCCATCTCTCTATACAAGCAGATGCAGTAGCCACCTCATTTTGTTCAAATGGGCTAGATCTTGGGTCCCATAAATGTCTCCATTGCCTGGAACAGGTGAACTCTTGAATTAGATTGCTCTGGTCTATTACAGGAATAGGAGCGATGAGTGTCATATCCTACCCAGCTCAGGGTGGGATATAGAAGATTCACACTGGTATATGATCACAGTCATTTTTTTTCTTTTCATCATGACATTCTCTACCTTTTTTGCTTTCTGTCTTCACAGGTAAGGATGTGGGTCGATGCCTCATCCTTGGCTCCCTGGGATGTCACTTTAAAACCTTCTCTCAATGAGTACCCTCTTCTCTCCAAAGCCCTCTCTGGTCCAGAATATGTCCTTTATCTGCCCTGACATAAGTCTTTTCCCAAACCTTCTTGGGTGATCTCCTTTCTTTATATCTCTGGGGAAAGGTAGAAGACTTAGTAAGAGTGCTAGACGTGAGTCAGGAAGACCTCAGTTCCAATCCCATCTCAAACTAGCTATATGACCCTGGGCAAGTCATTTAACTGCTTTTGGTCTTAGTTTCCTCATCTATAAAATAGGGATAATAATAGTACCTATTTCACTGGGTTGTTGTGAGGATCAAATGAGATGACATGTACAAGCTGACTTGGAAACCTTGAAATGCTATATAAATGCTAGCTACTACACTACTACTTTCTTCAGTAAAAAATTGCAGACTCTGAAAATTCTGGAGGGTAGTCTGCTATTTGTACCACACATTACAAACACACATAAATGAGCATATAATGTTGTTGTTGTTCAGTCGTGTCTGACTCTTTGGGACTCTATTTGGGGTTTTCTTGACAAAGATACTGGAGTGGTTCGTCATTTCCTTCTCCAGCTCATTTTGCTCATTTTATAGATGAGGAAACTGAGGCAAACAGGGTTACGTGAC